CAAAACGGCTGTTCCCAATTAGCATCTATACCAACACACAGCAAAAAATTCGTCTATTAGACTTACACACCGGTTAATGGGGTCATTTTAAATTAGATAAATAAATATAATATTGTACATACGTCCAATACGTACAAGTAATCTTGCTATAAATGTATATAAGTGATTATGAAGTTGACCGAGGAAGGTTAGGTTAGTTAAATCCAATCAACTTTGGATGGATTCTTATTGAAAATGTAACTCTGTATGTAATTCGTTACTTCATTACCTTATTTTATTACATTATTTTTAATCAAACAAAATATTTTCTATTTAATGCTTATACTTTATTTTATTACAGCATAAAACAATGCTGAAATCTCAATAAATATTTTTTAAGTAAATAAGTATTTTTATTTTTTTTGTGGGGGGAGGGTCATTCGTCTTATCGACTTATTCGGTTAATATATTCAAATGACCAGATCCCAAAGTGAGTCCAATAAGCGGTGACTACTGTATATTCTTAAAATATATTATTTTGCACAATATATTTTTCAACCTTGAAATATGTTTTTTTATGCTTTAAACATTTTCGTATATCAATTTATAGAACAAATTAATCGTTGAAAAAGCTTATCCAATAGAATTTGCATACTCTCAGTAAAAATGCGTAAAAACATAAAAATTCGGTCGCTAATTATAATACACCCCAATCGCCCCAAAAAATTTCTAACACTTTAAACATTGGATAAAAAAAGTAATTTACAAGAAAATTATCTTTTCGAGTCTTGCATACGAATTCGATGAGCAATTGGTTGATTCCTAGTAGAAATTATGTATTTCATATTTGTGTTATTGTAAACCATGAAATAATATCTATTATTTTGTTCTGTTAAAATGATCATCAGTCATTAAATTATGAACATCATTTTTACTAAACATATTTGCAAGATATTCTTACTATCGACATAATTAACACAATTAATATTTTTTATCTGTTGAATCTTTCTCGTGATTTGAGAGATTTAATTATCTTCAAAATGCCTTAAAATAATTCACTGCATACTAAGGTGTCTATACACTTACTGTTTACCGTTATACGTATCAATCAAAAATAGTCTATACACAAACCCCTTGATCAACTATCGTCGAGATTGTTCTAATACCTCGCTCTCTAACGCGGAAGACAAATTCTGTCTGCTGTCGTTGCATGAACTCCTCAAATCCATCTAGTGACGTGTTTTCGCAGCCAATCAGTTATTCTCCGAATGAATGTTTATGAGGCACTATCACGTGAACGTCGAACTAGTGTGCATAATATATATACAACTTACACACCAGTTTTTTCGTACTAGTTTCGGCAGTACATATACTAAAATTGGAACGATACAGAAAAGATTAGTATGGCCCCTGCCCAAGGATGATACGCTAAATCGTGAAGCGTTCCACATTTTTTTGTCAATTTTTTTTTTATTACTACTTGTTACATAGTCACGGAGAGTTCTTTTAGTTTAGTAAAAGCTTTTTGTAAGTGTTTGCTCGACTTTTACACATTTACTGGAAACATCGGAAACGAATAAAATTCGGTAATAATTAAAATGCTAAACATAGGCGTGTGCCTATAGGGGGTTGCTCAGAGGTGCTTAGCACCCCCAATTTCCTAAAATATTAATTTCAGTATTTCATCAATAATTTGTAAATTATTGTGGTTTTTGGGTTGGACATTTTTTTTCCACTATAAATAGACAATAATATATAATATATTGACGAATTCACGATTAAAACAGTATTGTATAATTGCACGTTTTACTGTTTCAGTTTTTATCTAACTATTAAACTATAAACAGCAATCATAATATTATAGAAAATCATATTATCTTATATTATCTACGGTTTACGGTTGGCTACAAAATTATGTTTTATTTATAACTTTGATTATTATTTGGTTTTTAGTAATATTTAACCAGTGGGCTACGTTGAATTGTATGCGGAATGATAAATATTATCAATCATACAAACGATATGATTTATTACTATTTACATTTTATATACTAGTTCATATTTTTGATATATTAGGTTATTTTGAAAATATCGACAGCTAGTTTATCAGCAGAAATGCTGGTCTTAAAAAATAGTGTATCAGCCAACTTTGAATTTAAAGATTTGAAAAATCAATGTAATAAAAGTTCGTTTCCAAATGTTTATAAACTAGTTCAAGTGGTAATGACAGTTCCAATTTCTTCTTCAATGGGTGAACGCTCCTTTTAAGCTATGCGTAAATTGAAAAATTGGTTCCGCACTAGTATGGGCAAAGAAAAATTTACCAAACTATCTACGCTTAGCATTGAGAGAGATTTTACCAATAAAATAGATGGGGAAATTATATTGGAAAAATTTGCATCATCAAACAGGAAATTAAATTTGTTTAATATATTAATAATAATTTCATATTATTATAACTTATAATATAATTACTTTTAAATATGCATTAATAAAAATTAAAAACTATGGCAACGCAGTTGATTGCAGTATTAGGGGGGTGAGGGGGGCAAAGTTTCCACGGACCTGTGTACTATAAATTATTCCAGCACCCTCTGAATTCACACACAATGTGTGCCTATAATGCTAAAGCACGGTATTTAACATTTTTTTTACATATTTCTAAGTAATTTGGTAATCAATTTCATCGCATAAAAGAGTACGTTAATTTTTTATTTGATTTGATAGGTAATCAATATAATAATTTTTACCATTTTTTTTATATTGACGTCTAGTTTATAATCTAAATTTATAGTTTTAAAAATATATTTATACTACGTATTTAAATATGTCATACGATGAATGAATAAATACTATTTTTTAATATTGACAGTTGCATATCATTATCAAAAATTAGCCGATTTGCGATGTTTATCGTACAAAACTAAAAATTTCAGATTTTTGTCCAGACATAAATTATATTACAAATTTAATAATACAAATCATATAAACTATAATTATTAAATATAATTTATATTTTTGATCTAACACTGAAGATTTATCTTTTATTTTATTTGAAGTACATTCGTCTTAGTATAGAAAATGTTAAAAATATATAACAAATCCATCAAATAATCAGTTCCGTCAATTTGATAGTTTTTCATTTGTATATGTTTCTTTGAGAATTTTAATGTAGGTTGAGGATTAATTAGAAGTTTTGACGTACGTGCAATACTCGATGTAATTTGTAATTTAAGTGTAATTTAAAATGATTAAAGTGGTATCGAAACTAAACCATATTTTTATTGCTCCATTATGACCTATTGTTTGATAGAGTAAAGGATTCCTTTATTATTTACTACGAATTAATTTACCATATTAATTACGTGTTTCACAAGTGATTGACATTAAAGTGATTCTGAGTATTAGAAACTATAATATTGATAAATGTGTAGTGATAAATTAAAATATATTACTATTTACACTATGATAATTTGTTATCATCGTCGTTTCAATTAAATATAAAAACTTCCAACAACTTTTAATATTATTTCATGTAATTGGTGTGTGAGATATGACGTGTAGCTTATGAGGAAAAACCTTCTATGTACATATTCCTTTAGTTAATTTACTTAAAGCTTTTCCGTCTAAAATAATATTTAAAAATTTCGTCTTATAAGGTATTAAAATATATTTATCTCTCTAAAGTTAATGGTGTGAATGATCTCTCTTCTTTCATTTATCTATATACTTGAGAACAAACTGCCGACCAAGTCTAAGTAAACGATATGAAAAATCACAAAAACTGTTTTTGATGAATTTTGTTCAGTTTCAATTCATTTTTTTTTTGACTTAAATAAACATGCTTTATTAGCTTTATTCCATTTGCAATATTACTACTTAAGCACCTACTAGGATCATATTTGGAATTGGAATTATGTTTCCGAAGTCGGTAAAACTATTATATCTAAAATTTTATAGATTTTGAAAACCCGCAAGGTTTTTTGAACGTAAAGCATGAAATTTATACATTCCGAGTGTTGTACTGTTACAATAAAACCATGCCGACCGAGATAAACGACTAGGTCAATTCACTAAAATGGTCGTTTTCCATTCCGATGACGAAGCAATTATTATAGTTTATTTATAATATCATCGAGCGTAGTCTTAAGAAAAAGCCAAGTTGTCCCGGGTACGACATTATTGTACAAACATTTCGAGACGGGCCCCGAGTCAGACGAATAAATAAAATAAATTGAATCGCCGCGATAGCATTCTTATCGGGCGAGTTGTTTGTAAATGGGCCGCGGCGAAAAACAATATAGGTACGACGACGATAACGAATGCAATTTCAAACAATATTTTAAATAATACACTATAAGCCAGTGTTTCCCAACCTTTATGCTAAGACGGCCCATAAATGTATTTTGTGTTGTGTAGACCAGTGTTTCTTAAACTGTGTCTCGCGGAACCCTGGGGTTTCGCGAAGATTAAGTATTTTTTTAAAGATTTTCAATAAAATTACTTTAAAGTTTCCTACTAAAGATTAATAATGATGAAAAAATGTTTGCATTATAGAAAAAAAATCTTTGTATATTAAACAACAATGTATAAGCCTAATGGAATAATCTGAATTTATATTTAGTCTAATTAAAGTAATTATTATTCAAGTATTATTATATATTTATTATACAATATATATTATATTGTATAATACAATTATTATTATTATAATTTTAATTATTAACATTTAAATATTAACATATTTTTTGAATAAAAAACTTTTAACACAATATTATTATATAATTATAATTTATTTACAAATAATCCTAAAAAAAAAGTTAAAAAGCTAAAAATGAAAAAAGAAAGGGTTCCACGGATAAAAAAGTTTAAGAAACGCTGGTGTAGCCGACACTACAAACAGGAAAAAAAAACCCTATTATGAATGTTTTAACGTATGGAACTTTATCATATTACACTTTAACGCGATATCGAAAAACTGAATTATGATATAAATAACTATGATAACTATGATATTTTACTCGTCATTAGTCGACAAATAGCAGCGACCCGTAGGTTGAGAAACGCTTCTATAAGCGTTGCAGTGCCGTGTGCCACCGCCGATCGGAGTTATCGACGACTGTGCATTATTTTAAAGAACTGTTTTGTTGTGAACCGAACAGAATAATAGTCGCGCGTCAAGACGTCAGAGCCAGTCATCGAGAATCGAAGAGTTGCGTCCCGGCAGTACACACGTTCGAACGTGCGATCCGCGCACGCGCGCTTACACTGAATAATAATAATAATATTATACATTCATAATATTCCGTCGCCGTCATTATTATTATTATTATTATTATTACAATGAGCGGTGACGATCGACGGCAGTCGTCGTGCTGCAGGCGAGTCGTATTCGACCGGGTGCTCGGCAAAGGGACGTTCAGCACCGTGTACAAGGCTCTGGTTGAACCGGACGGCGTGCGCATAGCTCTGAAAATCGTACACCTGCAGGACATAACTGCGGACCACAAGACCTTGCTGGATTGCCTGAACGAAATAAACAACCTTAAGGTCAGTGTGGCGTCAGCTAACAGAATTATTACGAACGGCATGGGCATAAATATTGATCTATTCGTTGTACATGTTTGTTTTCGAGGGATCGGTTATTGTATTAATCGTATTTTTATAATCGTTATCTTTTTCATCCGATTTCGAATAGATACGCATTGTTATATATGTACCATAAATACGTTTTGTTATTATTATTAATATTATTTTTATTGTTTTATTTATCTAATTTTTCGTACAGGCATACTATTATAACCTAAGCATTTAGACTCGTCTGGTATAAATATTAATATGAAAATTATTAAAACCTACGATGATTACGAATTGCAGTTCGTAGTTTTAATTCTTTGTTTGGAAATACTTTTTTTTCCAACAAAAATGTGGATATGCAACCATGTTTTGCTCTATATGAGATTGTTGGCTAATAAACCGTGTGATAAACTATATCATATTAAATTAATCCGTCGGGTGTCGATACACGCGGTAAACCTGTATGCAAACAATTAATAGGTATGATCGACGTGATTTATCAGTATTATTTTGTTAATCCGATTGCGCACACTGGTTATCTATTTAAACGCTGAAACTGGTTTTGCTCTGTACTTTGCTTTTGTTAATTAATCTTTATTGTATGTCTCATTGACTTATTTTACGTGCGATGTCAGAGGAAAAAGTAAAAAGTCTTGTGTCAAAAGTAATTCAAGTATACATATGATAATATTTATTTGAATATGTATCGGTAATAATGCAATTATGTGCAATTCTATCGTACATTTATTGGATACGATAATATTCCTAATATTTTTATATTTATACAACCGTTCTTATACATGTCAAAATAATTTGATTTTATTAAAAAATTACAAAATTTTCATTTCGAAATATTTATAGTAATTTATAATTATAAACAATGTATTGTTAATTTATTGTACTAATTCTGAAACGTGTAGTTATTAAAAGTAGAGGAGAGTTATAATTACTAAAAATTAAATAGAGAACATTGTCCTACTATTTATTTATTTATTTTGTTGTTTGTTCATTCAATGTCCACGAAATAATATTGTTTCTATACATATAAATCATTAATTTGTTTTATCTTTGTATTGTTAGAGTTTCTCATATAATGCTTAAGAATAAATAACAATATAATAATTTCAAAGGTGTAGGAAACGAAAAGGTAGATAAGACCACATAGGGAAAATAGTTTTGTCTATACCAGTGCTTCTCAACGGAGGCGATATCGTCCCCCGGTGGGCGGTGAAGAAGTACAAAGGGGTGGTGAGCTCGTTTCGGGTGATTAGGGGGTGGTGAAGTTTTTTTCCGTTCAACGAAACGTACCAAGATTTATCTGTAATTGTTTTCATTTTATCGATTTCTAAAATAAATTCGTGATAATGAAATAAACTACATATATCAAAGACAGTGCGTTATTATCTAATAACGAAAAAAAGAAATTGACTAGACATTGTCAAAAGAGGAGACTTACGGCTTAATTTTACAAATTTTGAACCAAACGTAAAAAAATTGGCTTTGAACCACCCAAGCATTTCACTGATCAATACATTTCAAAACATTTAAACTATATTTAATCATACATTTTACATTTTATTTTTATTATATTTACATTTATATCTATATTATTTAGTATTCAATTATAAACATTTCATATATACTATTTTTATTTTTATTTTAATGAAGTGAAGGGGGGGCGGCAGTTTGAAAAAGGTTGAGAATCACTGGTCTATACTTATCTAATTCATGATTGATTTTTTTTTTTGCTCAATAAGGACTTTAACGAATTATTTAGAGTTCAAATTTTAGACAAATTGAAGACTTTTACCATAAGAGTTTTTATTATTATTCGCTAATTCATTTGATAACATTTTTGGAAATATAAATGAAAAAGGTTTACATTACAATATAATATAATATTACAAAATATTTATTCATAATTAAAATTAAAATTTCGTTTAAAATAATGCTGATATTCGTATGGTTTTGTAGTACAAAACAGCATGATAGGATTTTATATTTTGACTTTATAAATACTTCCTAATTAGTTTTTACTATGTTGTCAACATTTTGTTTTTTTCTAACATGCTCATTCTAAAGATAATGTGATGTCCGATTTAAAATACAATACGAAGAAATATTTATTTTTTATTATATATTAAAAAACTCTCAACGATAGGAATATTTTTTAATTAAGACCAAAAACTATAACCATTTGCATGTTAAAACAATAAAAATACATTTAAAATTTATAATTTAAACACATACATAATACTACTGTCAGGGCCGGCGTAAGGCTAAATGACGCCCCAGGCCAAAATGCTAACTGGCGCATTTTTCATACAACCCGTAATATCATTGTACTTGGAAAAAATTTTGTTCATAGACAGATATACGGAAAAATTATATAATAGGCTCAACTTGTACATAATTTGTTATCATCTAATTTTATAATCACGAGTCACGATGGTTCTACACAATCCCGATTAAACGATAACAAATATTGGCAATTTTTATGTTTATAGAGCAACATATACGATAAAACATTCTACGCTAAACCATATAAAATATACTTGAAATATAATTATACTATTTTAATATATGGCTAAACGAAATGACCATAATAACTATCAATATTTCAATACAAAGTTATTGGAATACAGTTATATTCATTTTTTGTTGTGATCAATTACCAGATAATAAATGTATTAATTTTAAAGAATTCTGACGAATAATTTATTGAACTTTAAATGTATTATTTGTAATTGTAAATCACATAAAAATTAAATGCATTGAATTTAGAATTATTTTTGATTTATTCTTGTCAGTATAGTTTTGCTGACATTTATAATGGGTACAGTATTTAGTTCTGTATAGTAGTATATCTATAGATTAATTAATCTATAAACGTAACCATTAAATAATTCTGTTTTTACAGATCTTGTATTTACAGATCAAATGTTACAAATGAGCTTATTATAATGTTTAAATTCATATGTATGTGTCATAAATAGAAATTGAATCATCCAAATATCATACGATGCTTATGGTGGGATTATGTGGATTCCGAATTAAAAATTGGACTGGAACTAGCTACCGGTGGAGATTTGAGACGGATTATTCGTGAGCATTACGACAATTTTTGTCTAATTGATGAACCAATAATCTGGTCTTGTGCTGTTCAATTGTCTAGTGCTCTTTATCACATGTACGAATCGAGAATTATGCACAGAGGTATATTCAAACTATTAACTAATACCTAAATAAATTATAAATAAACTATTAAATAAACCTTAAATGTTATTTACAAGAAAATAGTACCTAATGGTAAGTACATATTCCTTGTTGGAGTGTATCAGGTTGATATATAGTTTATATATTTTATAGTGAACCTAAATCATCCATTACATGGCAAGTAATAAATAACTTTTTTCTGTACTTAAAAATTAAAATTAAACATTACATATTATTAATCATACTCAACATTTTCATAACCTCATATTTTCATTACAATATAACTGCAATGATTTTAATAATATAGTTAAACTGTTATATTCTAAACCATTATATACTCAGAGCCGAATTTCCACCAAGGCAATCAAGACAGCGCATAAGGTTTTTAAATTCTAAGGCTAATAAATCCGAAATTCTAAGTGTATACGAAAAAAAGCTAACATTGAAATTTATATTTAATTATAATTTGTAATCATCATGTTTACTCTACAAATATAAATTGTTTTTTTATATACAAAATGAAGTTTTAAGTAGGTAAAATATTTACGATTTTGAATTTCTTTAGTATTGGAAATGGCAATGAAATATATAAACAAAAATGTAATATTTTCAAAATGTTATATAACATTAAAATAATTAAATTACTTAATATCGCATACCAACTTACTACTTTGAATAGGTAGTGTAATTCTAAAATTTGCTTAAAAACTTGATTTTGTATGTATCGTATGTAAACTAGTAGTATCGGGTAGTGGTAGTGGTACAAGTATTTATGCATTTATTTGAAATAAAAATAGTAAATATTAATTATAAATAAATAAACAAATAGTTTATTTATTTATACATTAATTTAAGAGTATTAACAATTTAATAATTTTTAATTTTTACTTTATTTTTTATTATTTTATTCTTAAACATTATGTTTTTTTAGAAATATATCATATTCGTTGTACATTTTTATACTTCAAGTGCAGACGTCTAACCACACACATACAAATATATGTACATACCTATACATATACTATAGTATGACAATAAATATTTTGTGTTTATTTTTAGTCTTATTCAAATGTGGTATGAAAAGTAAAGTCTTCACGGACAAAGCAAACAGATGAAAAAGGTAGATTATCTATTGAGCGTTTACACCTGTCAAAGTTTACCTATATTATAATAGTATGATAAATACACAGTGTAAATATTTAAAGCAAACAGCCTAGTCTAAAAACATATACATTTGGTACACTAGGTAAAGCATTTCTAAAGATTTATAGGTAATGCTATTTTTTTGATACTATAAAAATACAATCAGATACTGATCAGATATAGATTTACATAAATTAAAATGTACATGCTTATTGTACTTTAAGTATTTATACATATTATACATGTATAGGTGGTATGTTCATTGATGTATTTCAAAACCAAAATATTTCCAATATATATGTCAACTATTTATTAACTTGACATACATATTGGGCATCTTTGGTTTTGAAAATACATTAATGGACATACTACCAAAAAATTGTTTTTATTTATTATAAAGGCGTGACTAAAATGAAGCCAAATCACTTAAGTAAAGTGTTTAATGAGTTTTGGAATGATTTTTTTTAACATTTTATTCCTTTAACAATTTATGGCTACAAGCGAAAAGTGTTGTCCAAATATTTCTTTATACTAACCTTCTAGATAATAACAAAGTTAATAAATAGTTTGTTATAATCTGCATTTACTGTCAAGAAGGTAGAAATATTTGACAACACTTTTTACTAGTAGTAGTCAATTGTTAAAGGAATAAAATGTTAAAAAAATCATTCCAAAACTCGTTAGACACTTTATTTAAGTGATTTTACTTCATATTAGTCACGCCTCTATAATAAATACAAACAAGTTTAGGTAAAATAAATGAAAAAACATTTAACACTTTATATAATATATAAGTAACATTTTAATAAACGTCATAGCTGTCATATTTATATTGACAACAATTAATTACTACTAACTGATTAAGAAAAGTAAACACAAAACAAAAAACGTTATTTAGGTATTTGTATACATTATTTTGTAAAATGTAATATATTAATATGGTACATTTTATGAGTCATTCCACTCACAACAATATAGTTTCAATGCAACTAAGAGTCGAATACTTCGGGTGTTGATAATTTCATCTTTAATTTTAACCATGAACCCGAACTTTGAACTCTGTTTATTTTTCAATTTATAAATTTCTTATAATAATCTATTATGTTAACAGAAATTAAAATTTTATTATAATTAATTACTATTGCATGTCATACTTTAATAATATGTACCTTTTTAACCGTTAGTTATTTAATATATATTTTGTATAAAAAATGTAAAATTTGTACACTCCTTTGCTCTGACAAGCTCGTATATAAATTTATTATTTTAAACAATATAGTATTTTTAGAACTAAATCGTGTATACTGACTTCTTATTAATTACATAGAAAAATAATTATTAAAATGTCTATCCATAACGTAATTTTGGTTTTAATCTAAATCTTATTAGAAGACTTCTATTTGAAATTCGAAACAAATTTTCGAGTGACAGTTAATTACATCTATTTCTAAACCATTAAAAATTTGCACTTTGATAAATGAATACTTTTTTTTGTATTTTATTTGTTGTTATTGTTTGAACGTTGACTGTTGTTTTTTCTCTTTGTCGTCCACACCTATAGACATCAAGCCAGCCAATATTTTCGTTTACGGATTGGATGAGGAAAAGCATTCAATGTACGAACGTTGGAAAAGAGTGAAGATCAAGTTGGGTGACTTTGGGTTCAGCAAAGTCATTACGGACGGTCAGGATATGATGTGTCGGTCTGTGTTGGGATCTCCGCTTTATATGAGTCCCGAAAGAATGTTACACCAGAAGTATTACTTCGACAGCGACATATGGTCAATGGCTTGCGTTATATACGAGGTACGTTACTAAGAAGACCGACTTTATGATACTTTATTTTTTTGAACGATTGAATAGATACCGTGACTCATGAACTGGGTTATAACATTGATGTGTTTGTTAGGATTTTTGAAAGTGAATTATTTATGAGTAAATATGAGTAGTATACGACTTCAAAAGAATAACTAAACGATTTCATACGTACAGAAATATTTATTTCGATACATCGTTAAAAATGGTTATAGTTTATGCCGAGGGAAGGGCAAACAAATTAGTAAAAACGTTTCCAAATTCAATAAAATGCTAGACTGTACAATATTAGATTTTTTTTACTTTATGGAAAATCAATTTGACTGCTACTCTAAACGAGTTTTGAATTATAGTAAAAATCGTTTACAGTGACTTTCTAGGGATCAGTTAAAATTAGTCATAATAATCGACAATCATTATGACCAAAATGTTAAAAAGAAATTTAAAACACAATTATATATTTATATGATTATTATGTAATGTATATGTTAACCAAATGTATATTATGTATCAATGCATTTTTAAAGGAATTTTTACTGGACGACAAACCATTTTTTTCTCAAAATAAAATGAATGTATAATATTAATGTATATATAATATGATATAATGGTATTATTTCACGTTCGATTCGCATTTTTATTAAAAATAAATCCTAATGCTGGTAGAAAATGTAAATATCCATAATATGATAATATATTGTATTTTACCTATAAAAATGTATTTATTGTCCATTATCTATCTATTTTTTTAAAATTTTTTTTTGCATAACTTAAAAAAAATCAATTAACAACCAATTGTGTTTCATTCAGTTTTTCGAAGTACTATCAACTAGGCGACAAAATATTATAATGTTTATAATACGTATATACAGGGGTGCACTGAATCACTGACTTACTGTTTTGTAGGACAGTAGGCCCTTGTACTATGGAGCCCTTCATCAATAAGTATCAAGAGATCATGGTTAAAGAATTACATTTCTAAAATTATTATTCTTAAATATAGATTAGGATTATTTATAAATTTACTATAACAGACTACTCATAATAAACATAATAAACCAATACAGATTTAAATTTAAATAATGAAAAATATGTTATACTTATATTATATCATACTTATCATTATATGAGTACAGATAAATAAGTGTGTATAAGTGTATATAAATGGATTCATCTTTAATAATACATAAAAAAAAAAGAAATGTAATTGCTTCTCTAAATTGATCAAAAAAGGAGCTTTCTACAGTTCTAGAATAATAGGTTTTTACTGATCCAGTCCACACCTGCGTATATGTGTATTTTGTAACCGAGTTAACGTGATTTTTTTTTATGAATTAGTTATGAAAATAATTTATCTGTATATTATGGTCTTAGAATCAAATATTCTCATAAAATTATAATTGAGTAGGTACTTAATATTAGTTTATATTACAACACTGTATATACTTGTACTTGTTAATCTTAGTTACCTATAAGACTTTGACTAAAAATTAAACAACTGTCGATAATATTTTATTTTTCTAGTTCAAATTAACACAATGTAAATTGCAAATGTAAGCTTGGTAAAAGAAAACAATATCGATATACTTTTCAATTTCAAAAATCATAATATTAGAAGTAAGAGAGGACTAAATTAATATGTATTTCTTTATTAATTATACAAATTGTATTATAGTAATGTTTATAATACAATTTAAAAAAGGTTTGTAGGTAGCATAGGTGGACATCAGGGGAGAGAGGAGGCTTAGTCCCCCCAAATTTTAATAGCTCATCCAAAATCGAAAGTTTGTTAGAAATGTTATTCGTTGTTTTTATAATTATTTTTTCGTTTTTTTGAAAATCGTAAAATAAGAAATAATAAAAAACTATTTACAATAGCATTAACAATACCAATTAGTTCAGCAACTTGCGAAAGAAGTTTCAGTGCAATGAAAAAAATAAAAACTTAGTTATGAATATCGTTTTTTCAAGATAGTATCAGCGATCATTCAATACTGTATATTGAAAAAGATATATCGATAAATATAAAAAACAATGATACTTTGAATATCTTTGCTGATATAAATAAATATTTGTCATTAAAATAAAATATTAATTATTGTTAAAAATAGGTTATTTAGTGTTTTTTAATGCAATTAAAACATATCTATATTTTTAATAGTAATAAGTTTTACTTGTGCATGGAAGGGGGTGTGGAGTCAAAGCCCTTGCGGGTTATTTTACATTTAATTATTATAGCCCCCCAAAAATTTAACCAAATGTCCGCCTATGGTAGGTAACCTAAAAACGTTAGCTAAAAATTATTCTTTTTAATAAAGTAATTAATTGTTATTAAGGTGCTATTTTATTAATATAGTAAGCAATTACGAGTTTGTTTTTAACAAGTTGATTGGCTTATCGATTTCACTAAACTTGCCAAGCTCATTTTGAGTATCAAATTTAATTCAGAGTTTACTTACCTATGTGGTCCACCAATTTTTTTTTCTAAATTTGTCATTACTGCCTTGTATATCAATTACGCTTTCTATATTTGCCACATTCTCTTTAAGTATCGCACATGTGTTGTAAGGAACTAGTAGCTAAGTATCACTGGTCAACTCCACGTTATAATTGAATTAAAAAAAATTCAAGTAATTGACTTAAAAATGGTTTTTTGGACGATCTAAAAAGTTAATTTTTACTATATTAAATCTTATCTTAATCTTTAGTGGGATCCAGACCAATTTAAGATCATATTTAAAAATTAATAATATCGTATGGATCTATAATAATTTATGGTTTATAGATATTTAAAATAAATTAGAATACTATTCAAGTTTAAATTTAAATTTAAAAAATTAACTGTTTTAATAAGAAACAATGCACCGGGGCTCATATTAACATACTGCACATTGCTACACGATCGTTATTATTTGATTGGACGATTCAAATTAATAATAATCTTATTAATTTGGTTAAGTTTAAATTATTAAAAAAATATAAATATAAATGTAATTTATTTTTAGTAATACAATATTATGAGGTGATCTATCCACTACTATCCTGTCATTATGCCTACAAATTACAGTCTTATAGTTTTAATGTTTGATCGAATAACATATTCATAACATACTAATTCAGTTACTACTTTGTTAATGAACGACTTAGGCAAATACAGATTCATTTTATAAATTGTAATGGTAAAAACAATAACCCATTGACAAATAATTTGTCAGTTATTGTGATAACATTACAATCATTATTTTAACAGATACTTGTTTTATTTGCGGCAAATTTGAATCGTCCAATCAGAGAACAACGGTCGTGTAGCAAAGTATGTTAATATGCCACCGGGGTCTGAATATCAGTATTGATATTCTCTTAAAATTAATAAAATATAATCAAAATTAATTTATAATTATGATATAAAACATATGGGTAGAACAATATCGATAATTTCTAACAGAAAGTTGTGTGACTATCTTTAAAAAACTTTAGTATTTCTATAGGTCTAGATTCGTTTAGCAATTGAGAAGTTAATGTGATACTCAAGATGAGTTGAGAAGTTAATATTCAAATTTATTGGACCAACTGGTTAAGTTTTTTGTATATCACATATGATATTCAAGGCAATTAATTTGTTAACAAACATATTAAGCTAATATCTCAAGTAGGCAATATACATTTCACAATATTCATATTGACTCGTGAAATATGAATACAAAAAGAAAAAAAATACATGTAGTAATTTATAAGGAACATAAATATTGAGTGTCTGGTATTGTAGTACTGCCTAGTAGTCTAAAAGTTTATAAGTTAATTAATTTGTGGTTTAAATTAATTTCATTTGAATAATTAATTTTACTTTTTTATAGTCACTGATAATCTTTTATCTAGTGTAAGTGATGGGTTACTATTAAAAGAAGTATTATTCTCTTTTATTCATAATAAAATTAATGTTTCAAATCATAACGTCAATTAATAATTAATATATTTCTTTATAAAATTCTCATTAAAGTATTATAATTTAAATTAATTTATAATAAATAGATATTATCAAAATAATTAAATTAAGTAAATAGTTTAATGACATGGACAAAAGAAAGTTTATTTCAATAATCTATATGTATTTATATGATGTTTTTGTTAAATAATATATTTTGACTTACAGTTTAAATGTTAAATATATACGATAAAAGCAAATTTTTGATATTGACCAGTTATATGTATACTAATATACTTACTTAAAAATTAGATATTGTACCTACTGCAAGTAATGTGCTCTATTTAGAATTGAAAAATATTAATTTTTTAAAATAGGTATATACTTAAATTAAACCGTCAACTAACTAACTTGCCTAAGTAAATATAAAGGCGCTTTATTGCTGTAAAGTAAAGTCTATAACTTTCTTTTTAGTTATATTTATATAATACAAAGTTTAAAAATATACTTTATACATAATTTATTTCTATAAATAATTATAGAATTATTATAATTTTACAGTTATCATTAAATAATCATACATGTTATATTCTAGTTAGTAGCTCTTCAAGCTCCATTCCATCTGAACACATTAGACATGAACTTGATGACCAAAAGGATAATAAATGGATTTTATCCACCTATACCTTCAGACAGTTACTCCATTAAGGTCAGTATACATAAAACATATTACCATACCAATTTAGTTAAATATACCGGACTATAATGTATGATCTATGTATAATTTATCATTTTACAAAATTAAATTATTGAATATATAATTTTATACATGCATGCTATATAGTTGTTGTATTGTATACAAATATATATTTGTAGCTATATAAAATATCTAACTGTTCTATTGTATATGGTCAAGATATTATATTTAAAGCCAGGGTACAATTAATTAAAATTAGAGTATTCAGTGTCGGCGGATGGTTTGAATTAACGAGATACTTGGCAAGAGTAAATGTCACAAAATAAAAATAACAAATTTAATTACTAATCTTCAAATTTATACTTATTATTTATAAACAATCACTAATTGGCACTAATGTAATAGATATGTAAAACAATAAATTTAATTAAATGTTGTCATGAGTACATACCTATACATTTTTATTAAGTAATTAAAAATAAATTATTTATGTAGGAATTACTAATAGTTAACATCCAACAAATATTTAGTCATGTATAGTTTACAAAAATAAGAATATTACAAAAATCAATACTAATGGTCAATTATCAAAATGATGTAAAATTATATAGTTCAATATGCAATAAAAATTAAAAAGTTGTTAGAAATATTAAGAATAGTTTTAATAGATTTTCTAGAAGTATATATTAAAAACATTAAACATATAGTCCTTTAGATAGTGAACAAAATACAACGTCGGCACTGAGGGCATAATGCAATTATGTCACAATGACAAATAAATAATGTAGAAACCTTTTATTTTAAAATGTTTTATTTTAACTATATGCAGATCACAAAATTTATCGATAGCTGCATAATAGTCAACCACAAGTTCAGGCCAAAAATATCATATGTACTGAGACAAGCACGAAGAGGATTGGCTGAATCACGAAACCACGTGCTTTGACTGTCTTAAAAATTATTATAATCATATAACCCTTCAAGTATTATTATAAATTTTATAGTTTCTTTAGGAAATTTAAAAATAATCAAGCGTCAATACTACTTATATCTCTAATATTGTATTATGTAGTTATGTATTAACGTCTAAAGTATCGCAGCAACAGAGCTCGAACAATACATAGTTGAAGATTTCAAACTTAATAATACAATACAAATATTTACAGTAGTATTACAGTAGGTAGTTGTGCATGAATCTCATTGCATGATTATTTTTTTTAAATTTTTTTTTTTATATTTAATTTATTTTTACATATTATATCATAGGGCTAAACAATAAATATACAACAATTGATTGACGATTTTTTTCTTTTTACATTATTAAGAATGAAAATGGTTTCTAAATTTTATAAGCATTTCGTATAACATTAATCAATATCTTTGTATATATAAAATAAACATATACGTATAAATGTATGCGTAGAATATAAATACATAACAGTTTTATCCGCAAACCAAGGTAATCGTTATTAATCATAAAATAATACCTAATAATTATTATAAGTAGAAACAAATTATAGCTTTATAAAATTGATGGTTAATTTTAAAAAAATTGTTCTTTATTGTGCATATTATGTATAGTATTACATCATGACAAATATGTCATATATATATATATATATATATATATATATATATATATATACATGCCATGATATTCCAGCATATTTTTTAAGTATTTTGTTTACCTATCTTAGACTAAATTTTAAAATTATACAAAATACATCCCTAGAGCTTGAAATTTATAATTATATATATAATATTTTTTTATGTATGTATATATAAAAATGTACATAAATGTAAACAATATGCCTAATGAAAAAATGCTCACATTATACTTAATGGTGTTACAATGTCTAATGGATTAAAAAAAAAAAAAAAGACTATCACTTATACTATGATTACATTATTGTAAGGTCACGTTTGTCTTTGTATCATAAAAATATTATCTTCTGAAATTTTTTTTGTCAATTTAATAAATAGTAATGAATATTATTACATTATTATATATGCATGTATAATATATAATAATACAATTATATAACTATTCTTCACAAACGTACCTTAATGAAAACATTTACAAATATATACTGCACAATATTAACAAAACCATTTCAAGGTATTAACAAAATATTATCTATTAGACTAATGTAAAAAAAAAATTTTTATACATAACTTGATTATGTTTATATATAAATATATATATATATTAGTCTATTGTGACGTATATATATATATTTTTTATGTGTAGCTAATGATGTTGCTGGTAAAAATTGATAACCTTCATTATTATACTTAAAAATGTATATATTAGTGGCGTTAAAAAAAAAAAAAAGCTTATAGCTAATTTAATAGGATTTCATATATCACATTATTTTTGTTGTGTATCCCACATTTACAGTATCTTGATGAATAAGCAGGAAATAGTATATATTGTACGTATCATATTACCAGGTTTGTGCTATTCAAACACTGAAATGGTTATTTTCAGTAATATTATAGCATACATGTAGTGAATAATGTTATATTATTGTAAAAAAATTAATGAAACACTAATTTATTGCTTTAACATAATGAATTTATACTAATTTATTAAAATAAAAATATGTAAGATGCAATTATAACTTGAAGGTGTAGAAATCTAATAACAATAAAATTGATTTTGCAAGACTTCTAACACAAAAGCACAAATTAACACAAATCTTAAGTAATATAAGTTTTTATAGTGTATAATGTATATCAAAAAGATAAGTATTATATACACACATATATATATATACATGTACACATAACAATTTATTAAAAGTTATTGATTGTTGATTAATAATTTTGATGTTGAATAAATTATTGGGTGGAAGTTATCAGCATTTTTATGAATACTATGACAATTGTTCATAAACATTACAAATGCTAAGTTCTGTGAGATGAGTGGAGCAAAATGTATATATATATATACATAAATAATTATACATTATACACATGTATATAATGTTAAGTAAGTGAATATGAAATAAAGCAATCCAACGGGATGTATATCATTGGGATTTAATTGCAGTTATTAGTAACAAAATTATTTAATTAGCGAGACCATTTACATTTTGTATAAATAAATATTACAAAAAAAAAATAAAATGCGTTAATAAAAAATATGTTACGTTTACACAATACAACTTGGTTATGTTTATTTTTTCATTTACATATATCGTAGACATAACACGTAAGAGTCAATTCCCATAAGGTATGATGATCTACAGAATATAATTATAATAATAAATTCACCTTTACTAAACAAGCATAAATTAAACATAAAAATATTGTTATACTCTTAAATGTAACACTTCTGTTCTAAAATGCTAGATCATCAGTCTGGAGGGGGTATTGCTGTAAATATTACTGTATTACAAAATATTTTTGGGCATTTTAAAATAAATATGTATTTAAATATGATTATAAGAATAGTCATAATAATTTTTTGAGGCAGTAATCATTGTGGTGTTTAGTTAAATTATGAAATATTATTTGATAAAACTGATGTAAATATTGTAATACATATATAAAAATGGTAGGTAAATTATTACCCCCCGCCGTATTTTTGCACGCACCTTAACTTCCGCAGTGAATTATAACAGCCAATTTTAATGACAAACGTGTGATTTCATATTATAATAATAAACTTTTAGTTGGTACGCGTAGAAAAAAAAATTGAAAGATAATAAATTTAATAATAATAATAAAAATAAAAATAATAATAATAATAATAATAATAATAATAATAATGGGACCTTAACTATTGGGTGCAAGGGCAATAAATGATCAGAAAACCTATAACATCCTTAACGAGCAAATGTTCGGTAGTTTAGTAAAACACATTCTTGCCAACTGATAGTGGACTGTTAGTAGTTAATGATTTAAATTATTTAGTATCTATTTTTTAATATTTACCAGAAGTAAGTACACATTAGTAATAATTTTAATATAAATCATCAATTTGCATTACATAAATAATAATAGAATTATAGAACACATATAAATCGGTAAAAATTATTTTAAATTATAAAATGTTGGTAGTTTACAAAAAGAAATAAACGATTATTACCATCAGTTTGTTATTGTTTTTACTTTTAAAGTGTATTCGTATAATAAAAATCGAAAGTATATTATAAGCAATGAAAATTATTAATTAAAATGACAATAAATAAAATTCTTTAATAAAAAATAAAGAAAAGTTTAAATTAAATCCAATTCATTGACTAATAATCATAATACGAAAACGAAAACAAAATTATTATTAAAATTTACAAAATGTCTCTGATATACAAGGTTAATGCATTTTGTACCTCTCAAGATTTTTTTCACCCTTTAAATATGCATATAATTGGGTATCTGACGGGCATTATAATACCGCAACAACATTACGTAATCACTTCTCGTTATGTATATACATTTGTGTGTGTGTGAGTGTGTATAAAAGTGTATGCATTAAGAGACAAAACCTATGCGTTCAGCGATAGGTTTTCGGTGTGTAGTCAGAGTTTTAAATCGTTGGCTATTTTTGAAGCAATATTTTTGAATCCTATAGACGTTCCCGATATGCGCTTGAAACGAACGCCATTTAGTGACAATCTGGGCAGCTTGCACACTTCAATTTCCCACTGAACCAGCGAATCTGTGTTCGGATCTCCGTGCACACACAGTAACAAGAAACGCTCCCGTTGCTCATAATCACAGTTATTGGCATCCAGTACCTAAAGATTATGAATATACAATTAAATTATAATTGTTTTCTCGTAAACGCAAGAGTTAACAGTCGGCATTAAGAGGGATAAAAAAAGTGAACCCGTGTAAAATCAATTTACAAAAATCATATACAACTGTACGAAATATTCATATCTTAAAAATGATAAAAGTTTAACTTTTTTTTTCCGTAAATATTAAAATATTTAAACAATTCTTTGACTATTCAACTAACAAAGTAGAGACTTGTTTCATTCCTTGGTAAAAGCGTGGAGTTTAAACTTCTTTAGACGAAGTATTTGAATATGAATTTTACAAATAAATGATTATTTAAAACATTTTTTGGGATTCTAAAAAAATGTTACATTTTTCGTTCATTGGCAACATAAATTTAAAAAAAAACAATAGCCACAAATTATAGCAATTTATCAACACAATATCATTTGAAATTTATTGTTAAAATTGGTAAAATGTCATGTAAAGGCCGGCGATTATAAGTAAATTCATGTTATATAATATGCTAACTTATTACAATTATGCCTTAGATCATTTGATGGGAAAATTTTTGTTTTTTAATTAACATAGTTAACAAGTTGACTGTCGAGCTATTTTATTACGATGGTCAAAGACGTCATGAGAACCAAAATCGGTATCAATACTGTTAGTGTTGTAGACACTCACCTCACGTATTTCGGCCATAATTTCGTTTGGATCTCTTGTTGATGTTGTTTTCATACTCCAGGTAAATCTCAACGATCTGGGTTTCATTTGATCGTCATTCACTGTATTACTGTTTTTAAAAACGTTAAATTCAGATTATTCAATATAGGTAACGATGAGAATGTTTAATAATCGCAGGTAAATTACTAAAATAAATTATGTCTAAATATATTAAATTATAAACGTCACATATAATTATGATCGGTGTAGTATACATTTACCGGTTAGGAAATGTATTCTCTCTAGACTTTTTTTTTTTTGATGCACGTACATTATCATCAAGGGTTATAAATCAAACTTAAAACAACATATTATTTGATAAGCTCATTGCACTAATTCAAAGGTAATAAATACATCCCAACACCTGTTGAATTATTGGTGAGATTTTTTTGTAAAACATGGTCGTTTAGAACTGAATTATGTTATTCGTACTAAGTAAAAATTAGTTAAATTTTCAGGCAGTCAAAAAATTTAAACGCTAAATTGTTATTCAATATACTCAAAAATGTGTCGATATTATTTTATTAAAACAATTAGAATTTATCTAAAACTATACAAAGTGAGTTTTCGTTTTGATATTTTCATTAATAAAATTAGTTATTTGTTTATTAATTTTTTTCCGGAATTCGTTGATTACTTCTTGCAATTGATACATTTTTAATATATACTAGCAATTAACTGTTATGTATTTATTCATTAAATAATTTTCTGTTAATTTTACTTAATTTATTGAAACTCATGAGTTAGGACATTAATAGCATACTTTAAAAAATACAATTATCAGTTCCCATATTCAAAGAGATAAAATAATATTTTACTTGCAGAGTGCTGAATATCAATTTTTTATTAGGGTATAATAATTATTTTTTAAAGGTACATGTAATTACAATATTTCAATTTCGTTAAATTGTTTTTTTTTTCCAATAATTCAAAACCACTTTATATCTAGTGAATATCACATTTTTAAATGTATAAACAACATGTTTGATAATATGGATTTATTATTGAATAAATCTAACAAATTTTTAAGTAAATATAAATATAGTTTAAAATTATAATACAGGACGTAAATAAATATTAATATTTTTAACTTTCGCGATTGTAGTAATCTTAAAAACAAAAATATATATACAAATAAAATTACTAACAAAATATACAAAAAAAAAAAAGATTTATAAGTGAACTTTAACATTGATGATTTGTATTGTTATATTTTATTTTAACAACTATACTGTCGAATCAATTAAAAACATAAATATTAATGTTTATATCCTTAGACGTTCTATTTTTTTTTTTTTTTTATCAAGTTGACTGGACTTGATGGAAATTCCAAAAACTCACAGCTTGAATAAAATCAATATACATCTAATGCCATTAAAAAACCTTGTGTATACGTGTATAATTAAGAACAGTAACATACATTTGAAGTATAAAACACACTTAGTATTAACTATTAAAATCAAGTAAAGGTAAAAAAAAAAAAATACATATTTTAGGAAATTTAACTAATTTTTTTATCTTGGGAAAAACAAAATGTATTATAATTTAATGATGCAATTTTCATCCTTTAAAAATATTTTTAACTTTAATTCAACCAAAGTAAATTAATAAGTAAATAAATGGGTAGCAAAAAGAAAAAAATCTCTTGAAAATTCATAAAAATTACAATAATTATAATTTGTTCTACGTTTTTAGTAAGTACAATATAAATATGATGTTAGTAATTGGTTCAACTAGCCTTTGTCAGACATAATTTGTTTTGAATTTACATACCTAACAATATTATTTTTGGGCAGATTTTGATCCATTGGCCTGAAATAAAATATAAAAAAAAAAAAAAAAACTAATAAAAACAAAAAACAAAAACGATAAAATAATATAAAATAATAAATAAACTAAATTATAATAAATAATAAACGTGAAATCCTTATTGATCTGAATCTGGGATACTCTTAAGCATGCATAACATATATTTTTGGTCATGACAAATAGATAAATATTTTATATCATTGTCAAAATGTAAAAATTATTAATAAATATAAATATTTATTATTTGTATATTATATACACAGGAAAGAATGAAGTATAATGAAAAAAAATCAAAGTTATTGTTATTAAACACATCTTGTAACTGATATGTAGACATGCCAATTTTAGTAGACAATTAGCAATAGTTAACATATGGTTATAATTATACACAACACGATTTTAATGTATATAATTCATTCAGTAAATAACACTTTTATTGTTTTCAATTTAAAAAAACAAATGTATGCCACATATCAAACAATTTATTACAAATCCAAAGACAATAACATTGGCTTAAAAATAATGTTTGTACACTAAGGAATAATAATAATTTATGTTAATAATAATAATAATAATAATAATAATAATATATGTACCATTATAGTATACAGTAATAAAATATTGGGCAGAAAACGATTAAAATAATAAAATACATAAATATGCAACATTTATCGGGGACTAGAAAATACATAGAAAAGGTTGTCATAGTCTTTATATACATATATGTAAATATATATATATATAAGTAGTTTAATTTCAATTTATTTTTAAGTCTGTAGTTATTAGTATTACATATACTGGTTAGTTATAATAAAAATCATAACTGCAAGTTATGTTGTGTATAGTAAAAATTAAAATTAAATTAAAAATAAAATAATAAAATAAATATTACTAAATTGAATCAACATAAATATTAAGATTTACTCGAGAAAATTGAAGTTGCTATTGTAATTTAAAAATATCATCTGAACAGATAGAAAGTGTTGATTATCTTCATTTGGAACAAAAAACATATATATAGAAATATAAATATTTACACACACACACACACACACACACACACACACACACACACACACAC